TGTGTAGGATGTTAATAAAAGAAATAATTATGGAGAACACATTTAATATGAAAAAAATACAAATTTTTAATAATAAAGCTATAAGAGTGGGTCAAGATATTTTCAATTTTCTGTAGTTTTGGAAAATTGAGATTTAGCCGTGAAACCATCTTTGCCATCATTGTCAATGTTACATGTGAATTCCAATTCTTAATATAAATGTAAAGAAAAAATAGATTCCTGACAGTCTAGGAACTTTTGAGTACCAGACAGTTATCAACATTTCGGTCGTTACTGTGCGACCTTCCTGAGGTAGAATTCAATGTATTGACGAGGAGCAATCTATTGGCTCCTGACGTGAAGTCTATTCCAAAGAAATGGAGCATGTTTTGAAAACATTTTGAAAACGCCTGGGAGTCTCTAAGCAAAGAACCCCCAAAATTGATTTTTCAGAATAGCAGAGTTTCCAGTTGGGCCACACAGTTTAAGCGTTAGTGTCGTTTACAGATGACCGGCGTTTTGTAGGAGGAAAAAAAACCCAACAATTATTTCCGATAAAAATCTTGAAATACATTCTCCATATAAACGTACGTGTACGAAGAAGTAAAAACGAGTCAAAAACTTCTTGGTTCATACAATACTGATTGTGCCCGTGAGTAATGCCGCCTGTTGGGCAGGCAGTGCCTTTGCGGATATGGCAAACGAATGCATTTTTCGTCCAAACTCCCTCGTCTTCCGCCTCATTTCCCGCTTCCGCTCCCGACGCGCACGTTCGGACGTCCGTATTTAGCGCACGCACGACAACAGCGCGGGGCACGCCCCTTTGGCCCGCGGCGGCAGCGGCCAGGAAGCGCCGCCGCAAAGCGCTCGGGGCGGTCCGTGCGCTCCAAAGGCTTCACCACTGGCGCCGCCCCCTCCGCCCACGCCACGTGACCTACGCTCCACCCTCCACGCGCGCCTCTCCTGTCCCACCTCCTCGCTCCGCCTAACCCACCTACTCCACCCACTCACTCTCGTCACGAAACATGCCGCTTTCCACTCGCTCCATACACTCCCGTACCGACCCACCTCACTCCTGCTCTGACACTTTACCCAACACACACCCCTTCCCCCATGGTCATTCTCCGCTCCCGCTTCACCATGTCCTCGCACCACCCTGCCTGTCCACCCGCTTCCATTCCGCTTCTTTCACCTCCTCGCATTGCCCTTCCCCGTCCAGCCCCACCCTCGTCTCGCCCGAGCCTCGATCCCGCCTCAAAACCACATCCCTTCACTTCCGCCTTGGTCCGCGCTCCCCACCCCCGCTGTCGCCCAGTCCTAGCCCCCCGCCTCCTGTACTCTGCTTCTCCTCTTCACGGCTGCACCCCGCCATCTCCTGCTTCATCCATTCAACGCCTCGTCTATCCCCTCCCGTTATTCCCGCTCCTTCCACCACCCTTCTCGTCTACCCCCGCCCCGACAACTCCGCCTCGTCAACCCCGCCCCGTCAACCCCGCGTCGTCAACCCCGCCGTCGTCACCCCGCGTCGTCAACCCCGGTCAGCTTCAACCCCGCGTTCGTCAAACCCCGCCTCGTCAACCCCCGCCTCGTCAACCCCGCCTCGTCAAAACCCCCCCCGTTTCAACCCCGCCTTTGTCAAACCCCGCCTTTCAACCCCGCCTTGTCAACCCCGCGCTTGTCAACCCCGCCTTGTCAACCCCCGCCTTGTCAACCCCCGCCTTTCAACCCCCGCCTTGCAAACCCCCCTTGTCAAACGCCCCGCCTTTCAACCCCGCCTTGTCAAACCCCCGCCTGTCAACCCCGCCTTGTCAACCCCGCCTGTCAAAACCCCGCCGGTGCAACCCCGCCCTTGTCAACCCCGCCTTTCAACCCCCCCTGTCAACCCCGCCTTGTCAACCCCGCCCCGCAACCCCGCCCCGGTCTCAACCCCCCCCGTCCAACCCGCCCCGTCAAACCCCGCGCCGCAACCCCGCCTCCAGTCAACCCCGCCCCTCAAACCCCGCCCGTCAACCCCCCCGTCAACCCCGCCCTTGTCAACCCCCCATGCACCCGCTTCTGAACCCCCCCCGTCACACCGCCCCGGTCTCACCCCCCGTCACCCCCCCGTCAACCCCCCCCGCTACCCGACCGTCTAACCCCCCTCCGCCGTCCGTCACCCCAACCCCGCCCTCCATCCCCAACCCCGCCCCGTCAACCAACCCACGCCCCGGTCCCAACCCCGCCCCGTAAACCAAACCCCGCCCCGTCAATACCTCCGCCCCGTCAACCCCCTCCGTCAACCCTCACCCTCAACCCCGCCCACCTCAAACCCGCCCGTCCCAACCCCGCCCCGTCAACCCCGCCCCCGTCACCCCCGCGCCCCGCAACCCCCGCCCGTCAACCCGACCCGTCAACCCCGCCCCTTCAAACTTCCGCCCCGTCCCTCAACCCCCAACCCCGGCCCCGTCAACCCAACCCCGCCCTCTTCAACGCCCAACCCCGCCCCGTCAAGCCCAACCCCCCCTCCAACCCCAACCTCCGCCCCTCAACCCCAACCCCGCCCCGTCAACTTCGCTCCGTCTACTCCGGCCCTGTCTACTCCCGCCCCCGCTTCCCCAACCCCGACTGTCCCATCCAGTTAGCTCTCCCAGTCAGTCCTGACCAACCTCCGCGCCCATTCGACCCGCGTGAGCCTCACTTCACACATAAAAACAGACCGCGCGGCGTGCGCTGACGCGTTAGGGGCCACCGCATCCCCCATGTGCTCCGCCCTGTTGGCGTGTGGGTTGTGGGAGAGGTGCCGTGCTTCTCTGTAAATATTCCGTGTGAATGGTACACTCGTGTTGATTATCCGCCCGCTGCTCTTTTTGTGTTGGGTTTTGTTTGGTCTTTATTTAGTGTAATTCGTGGGCGTAGGCACTTCGCTTCATAGACTTTTTAACACGTGGTGACGGTTCTTGGTATGACAACGGGGTGGGCCCACCGGTACATTAGCATTAAAGGGAGGTCACCAGCTAATGAGCGTGTCTCAAAATTCTGAGAAAATCAAGGCGTGTAATTTTCCCATTCTTGAAAATGCATGTAATGAAACAGGAAAATGGAATACATTGCTATTCCGGGCGCGAGAGGCGTCTGCCACCAACACGCGCTTGACACGATCGTGCGTGGGCAGTGGGGGATGTGCGACCTTTCTCCATAAATTTGTGGTTCGGATGACGTAATTGTGATGATTCCACAGCCCTTCTGGTGATTTTCGATTGGGTTTTGGTGTGTGTAATTTCGAGATCGTATGCAGGACTTTGCGGTAAACATTATCCAAACATCGTGTCGATTCTTGGTGGAGCCCAGGATGGGTCACAGATATATTAATACTAAAGGAATGCTATCAGCCAATGGACGTGACAATTCTGGGAAAATATTAGCGTGTAATGGTCTGTTCTTGAAATATTGCATGTTAAAAAAAGAAATATAATGTATCCGTCGCGTTGGGGGCTGCCACAAGCCTCATGCTACACATTCTGGTTCGGAGTAGGCGGAGAGAGGGCTGCCGCGGAACGCGCGCGTGCGAATGACACGTTTATATTTATTGTTTGCGGTTCTACTGACGTTTTTCGATTGGGTTCGAAATTCCGCGTACGTCGTAAGAGTTGCCTACACTTTGTGGCGTCGATATCCACGTTCGTCATTTTAGCACTCTGTCAGACGATCTGGCTCAGGACATGAATTGATGTCGCTGCGTCAAGAAAGGAGGCCCTAGGGTACGAATATCGACGGTCGCGGTGGCAGGAGTTTTGACACTCGTTTCGTCGAATTCTGCCACTTTTTGGAGGAGAATTGTAGTGGGTGGCTGCTTGAGGTACTTTTCATGGTTTCGCCAATCAACACCAGGGGAATACCAGAGCAGTACCCTAACATAGGGGCCACGGACCATGCGCGATCTTTTCCTCCTCTTCCTTGTCCTATATTCGGCACTTACACACACTTCTTTCCATCGCCGAAATGTCTTCATTGAAGTGATTCCCGTTTGCGCGATATGTGTGGGAGGATTTGCTAGTTTCCCTAGATGTAGGTTTAAGAAACGAGCACGTAGATTACAGTCGGAAACTAGTGTTGTTACAACGGCACGTACTCTTTCGCTTTATTTGTAACTTTCCCAATTTTCGAAAATTCAGGGAGATGAACAAAAATCGGGCCTGCACCATTTTTATAAGCGTTCTTTGCTCTGTCTATATCTATATTGGAATGTATGTTTTGTCTGTCCTTAACACCGAAAAACTGATTTACGCCAAAACGTCTTCTCAGACCACCAGTGACTAAAGTGACCAGTGGCTACAGTGGCCAATGATTTACATCGTAGACAGACTCTTTCATCAAAATGGATATTCAACGATCGATTTGCGAAACGAAATTTGCCGATCGTAATATTTTAAACGGATATTTTGTTTTCGGAGGAACTTGACACAACGCCACGTGGGCATTCTCAATCTTTTCCTTCTGTAATTTTTTTCTCAGATAGAGCAAAGAACGCTTATAAAAATTACGCAGATCCGATTTTTGTTCATCTCTTTGGATTTTCCAAAATTTGAAAAGTTAGAAATAAAGCGAAAGAATACAACACAATGTGTTAGAGGAAGTATTTTACTACATATAGAAAAAAATATTTATCCACTTTCTCGGTACCAGGGTTACCAATATTAAAATATATTATGTAACTCTAACTAGTACAAGAAAGTACGTGCTGTTTTAGCAACACTAATTTTTCTTTAAAATGTTTTGTTAGTAATGCAAAAGAACAACAATATGGATTGATTCCTTAAAATTAATAAAATTATAAAATTTAAGAAATTGTTTATGCTCGAGTATTAACAACAGTTGCCAAGTTTTTCTTTCGAAAAATCGCCACAGCATTACAATGCATTCTATCTACTGCCTAAGTGTGTGTAATAAAAAAAACAACAATTGACAACCCCTGGTATCCTTCGGGGGCGGCGCATGGTGCAATGGAGCGCGTTGCGATGAGGTGGGCGTGGCTGCGTGCGCAGGGCAGTGGATGCGGCCGGCGCCCACGTCGCCTACGGCGCCCCCGCGCCACCGCCGCCTGCTGCCCGGCGCGTGCGTCTCGGCCTCCGCCTCCGGCAGCCCCCCCGGCGGCCTGTGCGACCTCGCCGCCTGCACCGCCTCCACGGCCTCCTTCGTCAGCGGCCTCGCCCTCCGCGCAGGTAGGGCCCTGCCGGCCACCACGCTCTCTTGTCATTTGTGCTTCTGACGCACGAAACTCACTTTTCTTGGTTGGAGTTGTTTTGTGTTTGTTGTTTCTGAAGCCTGGGTTCTGATAAAGGTGTCCATTGTCATGAGCTACATTGTGGAGATTTTTAAATTTTGCACATGAGTTTCTAACGCTACCATTGGGTTTTGGCTTTTACGTTTGCCGTGCAAGAGTCCAACAATTTTGGTCATATTTATCCGTGTGTCGTTCCCTGGGTGGATAAATAAGGAACCTGATTATGATGGTTAGTTATTGAATGGGTGATTTAGTACTCGTATCTTATGTGTAACGTCGTCGGTGTGTATCCAGCCGATGCTCATACCGATTCATAAAAAAACCCTGATAAACGCGAGAATCTGGAGTCGAGGTAGTAATAAACGTGGTGCAGATTTATCGCGAAAAGTTTCATTTTACGAGTGCCATTGCACAAGGCAAAGAAACAGTTGTAAAATATCAAATTCTCATGGAATTTTAATTACGTTGCAATATCAACATTTTGAATCTGAAGAGAAGGGAAACAATGAGTTATTAAATATTTATTCACATCTGAGATATCGCGAGAACATAAAGCAAGAGATTAAAAAAAAAAAATCGACTGTCGGAACAGTTTTTTAATTGATGCAGCTGATTACACTCTCTCATAATTAATTTAAAATACTTTTCAACTTTCACGGCATTGAGATGAACTATTTCATCTCAAAAGATTAAAAATAAAAATATTTTAGAGGTAAGACATGAAACAATGAAACGAAAAACAAAACACTGGCAAAGGAGGGCTATGTGAGGATGTAATAGTAAAACTTTGAGACGTAAATAAATTAACACGGACTGTCAAATGTATTGTAAATAATAGGACATTGATGTAACGTTTGTTTACATGTGATAGTAGATAAGACCTAGTGAATATATGAGAAATAAATGATTGTATATACAGTTGAGACTGCCTAATAGAAATACGGAGTGTATAAGACAAATGAGTTGCGATATTATTGTCAAAACAAGAGAGGCAAGAAGACAAGCAGAAGGATGCAGGGAATGGTAGGAATCAGACGAGGGAGCCAGAGGTAAACATTCGTGGAGGACATTTGGATAGATTTTAGTAGTAGAGGTTTGAAGTTCGCTTAAATAATTAGTTAGGGAAGTGACGAGTTAATAAGAATTCGGGTAAGCAGTTAGGAATGTATTTAAAAGTAAGTGACACGTTAGCACGTGATAGCGCAAGAGGGACATGAAGATAAATTGACGCAATTGACGCATAAATTGAAGATAAATTGACACAAATGCCAAGTGCAGTAGAAAGGGAAGTTAAATAATTAAAAAAAAATGTTTGTAAGAAAATAAAGTTTTGCCCCTGGCATAGTAAGTTGTCAATGTTATAAGAAATAATAAATAGAAAGAGAAAGAAAGTAACGGCTTACGTGATACTGAAATCAGTTTAAGGAATAAATGAATGAATGATAATTTGGATCAAAGGTCAGTAATATGGGAACTAGCCAAGAATAGGAAAACATAAGCCGGGCAACAATAATAGAACAAAGACATCAATCAAGAATAATTATTAAATGTAGTGGTAAATAATTAACAAGTCTTATGTTGAGGAAAGAACCGAATTATCGCAGTTTAAAGAGCAGGTTAATGGTCTGTAGCAAAGATCTGAGATACAAACAAATAACCTAGAAGTGTAGCGCAGAGTGACGACCTTTTGCAAACTGTTTCTTTCATTTTGTCAAGGGACTTTTTCCATCCTTTTTGAAGAGGCCTTTGAGCGTGAATGGTGAGAAGAGAAGTTGCGTTACAATAGAACGGATGCGAGGGAATCTGACACATTTGGCGTCCTTGTGAACAAATAGTATCTCTGAGACGGATATAAGAAACGACGACACAGTTTTCAGAGAATTTTAAAAAGGAAGCACACAACATCTGTAGACTCTTCTCTTATATTGCTATTTCCAGGAAAAATAAAAAGCACCGTTACGGTAGAGGTTGAACGGTACTTGTAATAAAATCATTCGAATTGCAATATTTTGATTTATAGTGGTAAGCTAACAACGTGAGTATAGGTATAGAGAAAAGGAATAAAAAGAGGAGGATATTGGATAGTTTGACGCTCTTGTTTGTTGTTTTTTCTGCCCTTGTAAAAGAAAATGGATGTCAAGGATCAAAATTAATAATTATGTTCTGATTCAATAAATGCTAACATTTGCCAATTAATATATTTTATAGTGACAAACGAAAGTATATACTACTATATTGCATTGATTGCATTGCATTGAAGTATAATGTCTGTAAAAAAGTGAAGTTTGTAAACGTAAATATATTAAGAAAGACTTATCTAATAGTTAATTAAAAAGTGCATAATTAGGTTAGGTTCACGTTACTCTCTAGTTACAAAATATGTAAAAAAATAACTTATGAATTACTCTAGGAATTTATTTGGTACTGAAAATTGTCAGGTCAAGTGTCAAATCTTGTAAGAAGCACGCGGAAACGCCTCTCTCCTGATTTTAGTCGTGAATAATAAAATAAGTCAACAATACTATTTGTCTTTGCACGAGTGGTTAGATATAGTTGAAAATAGTCATTTTTTGCTAAGCTCTATACTGAAAATTGCGTATTTGAAAGTAGCGTGACTTAAATATGAAGAATTTGCCTAGAATTATGAACGACCTAAGAACAAAATGTTTTCTGCAACGATATTGTCGTGATAATCCAGGTTCAGTTAATCCCTTTAGATACTGTCAAGCGAGAACTAAAGATTTTTATGCGTTAATCAGTGCAGCGTGATGAAAAGATAATGAGATACTTTAATGTGTTATTAAGTGCATTGCCAGTTTGAGGTATCGCTTTCTAAAACATACATACTTGTGTAAACGTCATTGAACTGCCTTATGTTTCAAGATGTCGTGTAAATGATCGGTCTATCAAATAAATCAAACAAAAGAAAAACGTTACGTCTCTTGCGTATCGGTGATTGGGATGCCGCAAATCGATCTCGACAGACGATCTCGACACTCGTGTTAGACATTTTCTTGATGAGTTCAACATTGGCGAGGTTGTGTCATCTGGCGGAATCGAATGCAGGTTGAATTGCTCTAAGAAGTGGTTTCCGTGTTTTCGCGGTTCACGTCAAGGAGCAGCAGCTTATACAATGTTCGGTGGATTTGCGCGCAATCTATCCTTCACCACCACCACTATCACCAACAACACTACCATCACCACCACCACCACCACTATCACCAACAACACTACCATCATCACCACCACCACCACTATCACCAACAACA